GTATGTCTGTATGTAGGTACGTAGGTATGTAGGTATGTAGGCATGTAATGTAATGTAATGTCATGTCATGTCATGCGCTGTACTGTAATGTAGGTAATGTATGTAAAATACGGATATGTATGTAATGTAGTGAAATGTGATGTAGTGTAACGAAATGCACCGTCTCGTAACTTAACGCATGTATGCATGTACTCATGTATGCACATATGCCTGAATGCTTGTACGCACGTATACATCCATGCATGTATACACATATTTGCAAGTATGTATGTATATCGGTGATTTAAGATCTGCGTGCGCTTCGGAGCTTGTGCGCTGATGCCGCAGGGTGCCGCTGCCAGATGTGTGGCCGCGCTCGCTTTGCAGCTTGGGCGCTGGTGACGTTGCAGGGCGCAGCCAGATGTGTGGCACTGTGCCCTTTGGAGCCCGGGGGCTGGTGCCGCTGCAGGGCGCCGCTGCCAGATGTGTGGCTGTGTGTGCTTTGGAGTGGCTGTGGAGCTTGGGCGCTGGCGTCGCTGTGTGGTCGTGTGCACTTTGGAGCTTGGGCGCTGGCGCAGCTGCAGGGCGCCGCTGTCGGATGTGTGGCCGTGCGCACTTTTGAGCTTGGGCGCTGGCGCCGCTTGAGGGCGCTGCAGGGCGCCGGCGCAGGGCGCGCTTGGGCGCTGGGGCCGCTGCATGGTGGCGGTGCTGTGTGCGCTTGGAAGCTTGGATGCTGGCGCTGCTGCAGGTTGGGGGCTGGCGCTGGTGCTGTTACAGGGTCTATCGTGCAAGTGTTTCTTTGCGTCCATGTGATGTTGAATGCAATGATTCCAATGCTACCTGAGGTCTATGGGGCGTAATTTGTGTATAACGGGGTGGCCCTCATAATGGAAGGGAGAAAACATTACACCAGCATAGGCCCGCAAATAGTAAAAGATATTTGCGGGCAGCACCATAGCAGCAGCACGAGCGTGCAGCTCGAAGCCGCACACTGCCATAGGCATCTAGCAGCAGCACCCTGCAGCGACACTCTGCAGCGCCCTCCAATAGCACCAGCACCCCAAAGCGCAAACGGCCATAAACCTCTCGCAGCAGCACCCTGCAGCAGCACCCTGCAGCACCCCACCAGCACCCAAGCGAAAAGCGCACATGGCCACGCACCTGGCAGCAGCAACAGCACCCAAGCTCCAAAGCGCGCACGGCCACATGTCTGGCAGCGGCACCCTGCAGCGGCACCAGCACCCAGGCTCCAAAGCGCACAGGCATCTCTTCCTATACGGACGTGAATTCCGAACCCCAATAGCTGTCTATCTGGAGAACCTGAGAAGGGAGGGACAAAAGCTAGTGGCCTTCCTTTTGCCGACAGCCATGACTTACAGCAAAAAGGCCACATGCCCTGAGCCCACGGACCATTCACGGCGCTTTGCACCCCTTAACCTCCCCTCGAGCCAAACAACTACTTGAGCACTTGAACACCATACCACCATGGTGAATCACTGACTTGCAACAACTAGCTCTGCCGAGCTACTCAGCCAAGCCTTCTTCCCCCAAACGTCCCAGTGCGCTCGGCTTCGGAACCAATCAGTTCCTTGCACCATCTTTCAGACCATCCACATCACTTCACACACCTGCACCTCCTTACCATGAAGCAACCATCCTCCACAAGACCTTTCCCCTCCAGACCTCATACTACCAACCCTCCACCTTTGTGATGCTCATGATGCCATCCAACAGCATCCCATGTTCAACATCACCAGACCCTCCAGTAAAATTCTAAACGAATAGTATTATAGGAAAACTACTTCCTCGTGAGTTCTGGAGAGAGTAAATCCAATTTCACAATCAAGTGTCCGCTGGCTTTCATAAAATAGCCTGTTGCAATTCAAAACATATTCACAAGGAATGAAGCTTTTGTAGAGGAATAGAGTTAGTTATACGTTTAAAGAACATCAAGAGAAAACCAAAACCAAAACAGTTCAATAGAAGATGCGGGGGAACAGAATTGACAAAGTGCTCAATCTCTTTTTGAGCAATGCAGGCTCTTATAAATGGCTTCTTTCCTAAAATTGGTGTTTTGCATGAGAAAGGAAGGACAATTGTAGAGTACAGTAATGAAGCCTTGTGTGGATTCCTTATCTATCACCTGGTACCTGACAGTGTTTAAAACCAAATCTCCAAATCCTTTTGACACAGGTCTATGTAAGCTATCTACCATTAGAAGAAAACATGTCAAGAACCCACACGTCCAAAACCATCACCAAACCAAACATGTATGATGTATGCAAGAATTGAATAATGAGGGATAGATCGAGAGGCTGAGCATACATATATATATATATATACATCTTCTTCCCCCCGGGAACGTGAAACTAGAACTCGCTTCAGGCGGAACGAGATGCTGTTATGAATGCTTTAAAATGTCTTGAAACATTAGGAAGTAAGAACTAAGAACTTAGAACCTTTAAAAGGTTGGAGGTACCACATATACAACATATGTATATATAATACTGTTTGAAGGGTTTCCTTCAGAGACATCTGGTTCGTTTTTGAGGGATTGGCAGCGCACGAAGTCTTTCCATTTATGATCTGCACTGTGTCAAGCTGTCTGTAATAAGGCTCAAACCGTGGCACTCCAACGATGACAAAAGTCGTACAGCTGGCTCACCTGAACATACGCTTTTTGACTGACATTTTGGCCCACATTGGCCGAAACACCAACTGGTGAATTGGGATGAGAACTGGCAAGCAAGACTTGTATGATTCTGATGCGCTATTCAATGAATCCTTCAACATGATGGTAAAATCAGTCCAGGCAACTTGAAGAGCGCAAGACTTCCAAGAATTCTGATAATTTTGACAAAATAAATACACAAAGTATGTGTCAATAGCAGGCAGAGTAGGAGGGGCAAAGGACATGAACACTCCTGTTCAAGACATGCATATTCAGACTGTCTTTCAAAATCTCACCTGGGATTCAAGGCCTTCTCCAACTGCAAGTTGAACAAAAAACTCCTGTAGCCCACAAGCCGCGGTTCTCCCCTCTTGTTGGTAGAAGGTCATGGACCACTGACAGAAATCTGAAGCCTAAGCTGCAAGACAATTTGCCATTGCATGGATCTTGCCGGGCTCCATCTTCAGCAACAACTGCTACAACTTTAGTAGCCCAGCTGTCAACCGTATCTTCCGTTGCGGCCTCTGTGTCAGCGCATCAATCAACAGCAGCACAATGTCCAAGTAGCCATGAAGATCTGCAATTGGAATTGGTGCATCATAGGTGTTGGCATTGGCGCCTCTCAGATTCGGATCCTGTGGTTTCTCAAGCTCATCAAGTTCGCGAACATCGCCCACGCGAGTAGCTCGACAGTTGTGAAACACTTCCTCCTCCATCTTCCCACTGAAAGCAACTCAAACTCATTAGACAAACGCGGCAACATCTTCTATCCTTGGGCTCAAGCTCAGAAGCACAAGGTGTCTATTGAACATAAGCGACAGTCAAGGAGAAACACATCTGATTTGGACTGGTTGGACTGGTGGAGGAGAATCGTAATCTGCGAAATCGAGAAAAGACGTGTCGCCATTTGACAAGCCTCACACAATGATTGATGGAGTGAACGCAGTAATTCGGGGGTAACCGTAGGACAGCCTGAGTACCGAATTCAGGGCTCTTGACATAGAGTCTGTTCAGCAACAGGCCAGCGAAGGCACCTTCTGATCCAACTCTTTGTCAGTGGTGCCTTCTAGCTCCGCCTTCCGCTCCCAAATAGCAGGCCGGAGTGCAAGTACATTGAATTGACATGTGAGTGTGTATTGAAATAGAAACACTTCCCAAAACAAATTATGCTGAATCTTGCTCACTTCTCACTGTGAATAAAGGTAGGGCAGTTCAACCCACTGCCATACAACCAAAAGACATGGCAATTGGAAGGCTAGAGGTGCCCTAGACCTTTTGCAACACATTTGTATCCAGCATCCACATTTCTTAGATCATGATGTCCATACCAATTGGTATTCATGGGTCCCGTTCCTTCTTGCTGAGGACCTTCTGCACTTCAGCCAGAACCTGTCAAAAGCCGGTTCAGCTCACAGCACCATTTGTATCAAAATGCTGGCACATAGAACATTGAATATTGAAGACTTTTGTTTGCACATAGAATATGTTGAAGCCACCATTCAAACAAAAACATTATACCTGCAATAGCACCTACCAACAGCAGCTACCAAGAAGCGCGCTTCCGTTTTAAAAGCTTCAACCCTATTCTTGTTGCCCCTTGAGACTGTACTGCAGCTTCATTGAAGGACGGGTGTCACCTGCGCTGGCCTTGTCAAGGCTCTTGTGAATGGTCTCCAATTTCTGACCATCCTGGCATTTTTGGGCTCCCGGCCTTACTACTAGTAACAAGAAGCTACTAGGGGCTCCTGGCATCGCTACTACAAGCAAGGACGCTACTAGGGGCTCCTCGCCTTACCACTAGGAGCGATCGGACGCTAGAGCGGCTTCTTGAGTCACCAGCGGGGCGGGGGCAGATGGTGCAGGGCCAACAGGGCGGTCCAGAAGAGAGATTCTCTTGTGGAGTTGCGTGATGGCGGTCTCCAAATCCTTGGCCCGGGAACGACAGATGTGCATGTTGAGATCAACATCAAGGAAAAGCATCAGCAAATGTCACGAGGTGGGTGGTTATGCCGCTCATCTAAGGAAAACGTGGTTATGCCCTCGACCGGAAACGGATTGGATGGCTGCAACACGCCCAGCTGCTTCTCGATCTCCTGCAGAGTGGGTCTAAGTCTTGCTCTTGGAGATCCGCCAACATGCAGGGAATTGCAGGCTTGAAGTAACGATTGTCAGGCTGATGTTGATCGCAGAAAGACAGAGTCAGAAAGAAATTGAAGCCGTATTTGGCAATGCAGTGGGTGTGCTACATCTACCAATCTACCATTGATACAGCCGATTCATGCTGATTCTTTTTTGTTGCACCTCATCCTGCCCAAACAACACGGCCCCCCAAGCTGGGTCTCCGCAATGCTGCTCTCCATGGACGCGATCTTTGCCTCAAGAAAGATCGCATCTGCAGCTCCAAGTGCGATTCGGGATCCCTCAAAGCCAAGTATAATATACAGTACCTGTTGCTCTTGCAGGGGAACAGGCTTAAGCTTGGTGTGTTCAGCAACCCATCTGAGAAGTGGGCGCCGTCACTGATACTGGCCACGCTTGGGGTGTAGTGAATCTCATATGTCACTTGCCTGACATTCACACCAAGGATGCCCTCACAGCTCTGGGCAATCATCCAAATTCATCACAACACAGATGCCCATAGTGTGGGGTGCAATCTAAGTAAGAAAATGCTGAAACCCTGGAATAAGATGTTCACAATGTTCATTCCTCCATCAATGAAGGAGTGTCGCTTTCAACCAAAATTTATTTGGCTTGTCTTCACCCAGCGCACCCAGATGCGTGAGCACTTCCAGCTGGTACATCGGCAGTGGCCATTCGCTCCAATTGGCTCACTAGAGATCTTAGTCACCAGCAATTCACACCAGTGAGGATGTCTCCAGCTTTTCCCATGGACAGGGAACCAATGATCTAAAAAGACGTAAAGAAGCTGTCACTGTTTCACCCTGAGTTACCCAGCGCAGGCATAGAATACCCATTCGCCTCATGTCCAACAAGAACCAAGTCAAATGCATTTAGCAGCTGGAGCCACAATCAATCACAAGAAGCGCTTGTCAAGAATCGTGACGTGACACTGACACTGATATTTCCTGCACATCCACCTCCTTGCCATGCTAACGCCGGTAACAGGTGCCTGGTTCCGCCCGCTGCTTCGACCCCAGGAAGCTGACCTCAAGGTGCTGTATGGCTGTATGGATAGACAAAATACTTTATTATATGTTTATAAAAATAGTATATCTTGAGGTCCATGCCAGGATGCCCAATCGATTCCACAGCTATCCCGGTCCAAGAAGACTGGTTGAATCTTTTGGTGGTTGTCCTATGGAGCAAATCACTCATGATATGTCCTTCTAGCGCAGCAAAAACCACCAGAAGGGAATGTTATGTTTCAAAGCATCAGGCGAGTCAAAGTGAAAGTTCAAGCAAACTCGAAGACAAACAGGCAACAGTTGGAGAGGAGGCAACCTCCGAAAAAGAATGATCACCTTACCAGTAGGCAACTCACAACATGAGAAAGAAGCGAACAGTGAGAGCTTCTGGCGAGTCTAATCACAATGACTCTTGCGCTATTGGAGTTTATTGATTGGTATTACGCCTACGCCAGAAGAATGGAATGGTCTCAGGAATCATCCCCAAGACTGAGACTTATCACGCAACAAGAAGTCGATCACATCCGCTGATTTTCAGGAGGTGACATCAATTAGGACGAACACCTGTTTGTGAACCCATGTTTCTCTCTCTCTCTCTCTCTGCATCACCTATACACCACCCATCTGATTGGATACCCGAAAAGGAAGCATTCCATCGGTACAGTCAACTATCTCAAAACATGTCACAATGTCACAATGATTCGATGTCTCTGGGAAAGCACACCCATCGGCTAAGCCAGTCAATCTCTGCTCAAGCACCTAGAGTTGATGCAGCGGCGTTCAGCAAAGCTTGGGTACCCATAGGTGATTCATGTTCAAAAAACGGAAAGGGGCCCCCTTTTAAGGGGGCGCCTTCAAAAGGCCTAATGCCAAAAGCTTCTACCGGCCTTCAGCTCCGTCGACATCGTCGCGGGATCAGCGCCTCAAAAAAATGCCCACTGATTGTTGGAACGGTGGACTACGGGTTGCTTTCTTTACCAGTCTGTCATGCACAAAAAATCCAATACTTGTTGCGTGGAACATTCCAAGTGTGACTGGACCGCGAATCAAAGGCAGTGCCTAGCAACTCAGCTGCAGCAGGGTCCTTCGCAAACCAGGAAATGGAGTCTGGCAAGAGCATGCAAAACCCTGCGCATCCATTCCAGTTGGTGGACAAAATGAAGTTCCAATGATTCTGCCTTTTGGATCCTTTTAAGGTCAAATGCCCCCTTCGCATGTCCCCTGGTTTCCGTCCTTGCAAGCCGAGGCCTCTGTATATTTCAACAGCTCGGACACCTCGGCCTTACGAATCCCGGGCCCAGGGAAAATGCTCTTTGTGAGCCACTGTGTCGGAAACTACCTGTATGGACCCGTTCAAGAAAAGGCAATGGTTCTAGTTGTCATCTCTCTGCCAAACAATGAGCGACAGTCAAACAAGGTTTTGCGCCTGCAGCCGTGCCAGCCGTTGTTCTGGAGGCTCGAACATGCTCTGGCCCATCACCTGCAGTAGATATTTGTGCAAAGGTGAAGCTGTGGGAAAACCTGCAGCTTGGTGGAGCCTTCGTCATGTCATGGGCCAAACCCAAAAAGCCAAATCGGCCCAAAACGACTGACCTTCTGCGGCCGGCCGTTCGGCGGATCTGCGGCCTGGAACTCCCGCTTCGGTCGCTGACGACGGACACCGACACCACCGCTGGCCTTGAGAAGCCAAGGCCAAGGCCAAGGCCAAGTCCAAGTCATGATTGAGTTATATTCTCCGTCACAGGTCTTTTGAACATCTAGACATATCTACAAAATATCTAAACCCGATCATTTTGTCCTTGGAAAGTGAGAAGTGGCTCCGAAATCTTCCAACCCACTTTTCTCAGCACATGCTTTCAGCGTTGTTTCAGCCTACCGCAGTGGCTGAGCCTCTGCCCCCAGCAAACAACCGTCAAGTGCAAAGAGTGCTCCGACATTGAATGGCCAAAGACCTGGTTCTTGGGCTTGGTGGCATGCATCAGGCCTTGCGGATACTTGCGCTTCTCTGTCAGTGTGCCAGCGCGGTATTTGTGCCAACTTGCAAAATGTACTTCTTCTGCTTAGAGATGCCTTGGAGCTTGCAAACATTGGCCGATCTTGGCGGCTTGTAAGTATCATTTGGCCACCTAGTCATCAGGTCACTGCTCCTCAGGCAAAGACATGCTCATCTCTGACATCTTCGCGGCCCTTGCACCCTTGCCTTGGTGGCCTTGCGAAACGATCTCTTCCAAGGTCCATAGTTGGGATAGACTTCTACAGCACATGAATTCAACCATTTGCAGGGGTGTTCGCGAGACGCGCAAGCAGGGCTGTCTCATCATCGCCCTCGATATCCTCCATTGCGACAGCTTTCAGGATAATTCGCATTTTGTCCCAACTCCTTCAGAGTGTTTTCCAAGCGCAAAAAAAAATCCTGGGTGAGCACTCCTCTGCTTTTGCTCCTCTAACCATTTTCAACTCGCAGTGCGCGCTGCAATGTTGCCGGTCCTTGAGAATTGTTTTTTGATTTGAACCATGCGAGCAAATGCCTCAACGGCATCGAAATGTACTTTCACCGCTTGCAAATCGCACCTCGCACTGGCTTTGTAGACCTCCAGGGGATCAACCAACGGCGAGGTCATCTTCCCAGTTCTCTGCCAGTCCACCTACTAAATCCACTTCATTCGTCAACCCTGAAGATTTCAATTTGTGTCTTTCTTTTAGCCCCCCCCTCCCTACTTAATTAAGTAGGCGCCTATGAGGTAGTAGTAGGTACAAGCCGCTCCTAGGTAGGACGCAGGATAGCCCACCCTTCTTCAAGGAAGCTCCCCCCTAGATTTTTAGGTACAGTAAACTTAAGGTATGCCTCAAGAACTCCGCAGTGCTCATGAACAGGGCGACTGTGCCACAGTCAAACAGCAGCTCCTTGGTCTCAGCGCAAAGTCCCTCATCTGCCACAAGCACCGAGCCCTGACAGAGCGTCCAGTCCAGTGAGTCAAGCCGGTCCAGTCAGTCGCGTCACGTCTCTTCATATGCTGCGCCTCTGGCAATGCAAAGGGCAAGCAAATGAAGAGTGGTTTCTTGGTGATGCTTCGCACCTACCGAGCCGGAGGATTGCACAAAGAATCGGCTATGAAACCTACAAGAGTTGATGCTCATTCAGCACATTGCCTGTTTCAGGTTGCAGCGCGCCAACTCTTCCGCCGGTCTTTGAAGCACCTTTGTTTCGATCGAGCCCCTGGTACCCACAACCATGCGAGGTAGCAGGAAGTTTAGCCAGGTATGTTGTCACCTCCTAGCAAAGAGGCTTCAACTATCTTCAACTCAACTCCCTTTCCTAATATTTGTGCGTGTAGACCGCAACCAAGAAGCTTCAGCCAGGAGTGCAGCGTCCGGTCTCCAAGGATATGGTGCACAAGCGAAGATCAATTCTTCGGCTGCGCGCCAAAGAAAGGTTTGAACCAGTTGACAATTCGTGAATCCATTCGCTCTGAGGTATTCCTCCCACGCAGGCACCTGACAGGAGTCAAAAAACACTCTCAAGTGAAAGGCCTATTCAAGGGTCAACGATTGCACCACTTTCTGCCACTGGCCTTTTCCACTGTTCCCTCTTCGCTCTCCTTCTTTCTCCTGTAAGCACACTGAAGGCTGCGTGAGGCGTCGGCACGACACCAAGAATCTTAGCATGTACAACGCACAGCCAGACTTGTCACCCCGTCTCAGCACACACGAGAACCCCTTTTCGCGCACCTCTTCTTCTTTGCAGGACCCTCATCTTGGTGGATATGCATGAATGTTCTTTCCACGCAGACGCGTCGACATGAGACTTCCTGCCGGCGCAAGACAAATCAACACATCCGGGAATGGTTTGGTGTAATTATATATGAAAACACCTCCCTGTATTACTTTGTATGGTTTAATTTCAAAGTCCTCAGAACTTAACCCCTATCATACATTGCATTCATTTGTGGACTGTCTGTACCTTCACTGATGTTGTGACCTGGCCTTGTTCTGGAGGAACTCCTCCACATCGGAGAAGCATCTTGCCGTCCGTTTCGGCCTCTCATAGATGATCTGTGGCAAGGGAATACCATGGCAGTGCCCAGCCTGGCAAAAGTCACCACATCAGACTACCGCTCAACAATCAAAGCAGAGAAAGGAAACCGATGGCAGCCTGGCCATTAGTTCCACGTTGAGACACGACAAACAAGGCCAGAATCCCGCTTGTTGAAATGTTGGGCTGTCCAAAAGCAATTCCCGCCTTGACCCCTGCCGAACTCGAAGACAGTTGAAAGGCGCCAGGCATCATGATTAAGCAACTCCTCTTAAGATATGTTTAGTGCCTATCTAGGATTAAAAAAACAAATTGAGGACAACAAACTCTTCGGAATCCAGAAAGCTATTCACCACACGTCCTCAACCTGGCAAATTGTTGTCCTCCTGCTTTGGCCGAGTCATGCAAGTGAAACACACTGATGGAGATCGTGGCTTGGTACACATTCATCATGGCTTGATCCACATCGGCAAAGCAAAGCGTGTAATGTACTCAAAATCAATAAAGGAAAACTTCTATGCTTGGGATTGCTAAAGCATGTCTGCCACTAGGGCATTATTGGAGAGATGCATCAATCAATGCTATCACTTGAGACAGGGAAACACGAAAGGTAGAGAGGTACCAGGAATATACGAGAGGTGTCTGTATGAAGGGGTGTGTGAAAGAGGGCCTTTTGTCGTAGGGGTTTCTACAACGTGTGGAGTGGTGTGGCGCACGTGCAGGCTTGTCAACACTGGTGTATGTGAGAGCCGTGGTCCGTGTAAGAACTGCCTAGTGCCAAATTGTGCTGCGCAGGTGCGGTCGTATGTCACGCGCGCGCTCCACATAAGAGCAACCTGGGTCGCAAGGAGAGGTTGCTAGAGCATGTGGTGTTGTGAGGTTTGTTAACACGGCTTTGCGTAGAGGCTGTGCTGCGTCAATGCTAGTTTGTGTATATAGAGCAATATGGTGCGTGAACGCTGGCTTGCGTAAAAGTTGCGGCGTGTAAACGCTGGCATGTATAAGAGCTGTATGCACTGCGTCGAAGCCGGGTTTCGCAACCTCATTGTAGGACGTGACGCTACGGTAAGTGATGCTAGTGTTGCTGGCAAGGGGGGGTGACAAAATAATTGATTAATAAGTTATTCATCACATTGGAGGGGGGGGTCAATAGAATTGATATATCAATATTTGGTCCCGAGCAGGCTATTGCAGCTAACCCCTTTGCTTCGCAAAGCAAACTCAAGCTAGCAGCTAGCCCTTACCAGGCTACCTTTCGCCATATATATATATATATATATTGTTCTTGGGTGTGTTTTGGTCTGCAGAAATCACCGACTCTCACCAGGCCTCCTTCTTTGCAAAGGTGTCGAAAGCATCTTTCACAGATGTCCCGGATGTGTCAAGACCCTCAGCATCGCATGGCTTTGAGTCCATTTTTTTGGATAGCCCGCTCCTAGGAAATTAAGTAGGCGCCTGCTTGATTAGGCAAGGGCGGCTAGTTCGCTCCTAGCTAGGACGCAGGGGGGGGAGCTTCCTTGAAGGCCTACATGGGCACCACATGGGAAAATGTAAAACTGATGCATGACCTCTCAGGTGCCAACTTCCGTAGTCACCTGGATTTCGTGAGCCAATCCACATGCGATGCATATTTTATGCAAGTGATGCTGCAACCCAAGAGTTGCATTCCTGGATTTACGATGTGAGTTGACCCTGTCTCCGCACAAATCGGAAGTCACTGGAACGTATAAGTCTTCATCCACCCAGTGTCTGCAAGATTATATCCTCTGTTGAACACCACATGCAAACCACGCCTTTGACGGAGCAGCAGATGGCACCTTGAAGATCAATCAGTCAGCAAACCGCTCGCTTGGAAGGCTCAATTGGTGCTAAGCCAGCAACGGACCGCTGCGGAGGGTCAGGTGTCTCAAACACCACCTCCTCACCCAATCAACAGCAAACTATCTCCAGCTTTGCAGCAACTTACATAGACGGTTGTGCATATGCCTTTGGAGCAACTTCTTTCGCCCTGTGAAAGAAACCGGTGCCGGCCGAACAACCACATCCCTGATTTGGTTCCTCCAATCGGCCACGTGGCTCCATGGTGCTCGCACCCGTGGCGGCAGCTGCTTTGGCTAAAGCTGACGGGCGACGCCCAATCTTCAACTGTCTGGTGCTGCTGTGATTATCCAATCACAAGCTCCAAAAAGGAGAGTAGCACGTTAACAATCGCTATTGTGTACCTATGAGGCATGCCAATCAATGCACTTTTGGAACCAGTCCCCCTCGATCAGCTAAGCCAAAAGTAGACACGCAGATTGCAAAACTGGGAAGGCTGGCAAAACCTCTGTTGTGGTGCAAAAAATACGACAGAAAAAGGAAACACACGAGTGACATGTGACTTTCCCCGCACCAGCTCCTCGACCTTTTATCTTTGGTGTTTGTCGAGGACATGTCTTCAGGGTATCGACGTTTGCGATGCTCGGTCCCTGACTCTTCAAACATTTTCGCCATTAAAGACGGGAAACGCAGCTGCATCAGACGCAGAGTATCCAGCACTTGCCTCCTGATCCCAAGGAAAATGTTGGGATTGTCTGGAATCGACTGGTCCAAACAAATCCCAATACATGAGGTGTCACGAGTCTAGCATCACGTGCCAAACATGGCGCCCACAGGTGAACCCTTCAACGGTGGTGCGCATGATCAAACCGAAAGTCCGAGGCCCGACCTTCTGAGCGTCCGTGGCACTTGGGCTGACCTGCCAACGCCAGCTGTGATATCACTGTGAATGAGTAAAGGACGTTCACTGAAAAAAAAAAGAAAAAACAGAAGCAACAACGGAAGTTGTTCGGCACAGCACCTTCTTCCAACTGTTTGTGTTCTCAAGCAGTTCTTTTCCTGCTCTTCCGGTCATTTGGACCGCTTGCGCCATCCGTCCAATGGACCATCCCACCTGACTGGGAGACGGTGGGTTCTCCGGCGCAGGCAGCGGAGGTTCGCCCACGTCCTCGCCTCCGGCGCTGGGGCTCAGCAGAACGTCGTACAGCCCGTTCGGTCTCCAGGAGTGCAATGACCCGTGTATCTTGGCGTAAAATCTACAGGTTTTCAGCCACAACTATGGCTAAATATGGGTTTCTTGAATCTGGGAACATAGCCAAGATCAGGGCATTCCCCTTTCGGTCGCCTACACCATCAACCGTACACCATCAAAATCAGCTGACGGGCTCCCCACATTCCTTCAGCAGCCTTTGTCTAAAGCTTGCTGTAGTTTCACAGAGCCAGCCCTGTGGCTTGGCCTTTTCCTTCTCGCTTGATCGGGTAGTTTTTTTGCTACGGTGACTATATATTGTGAAGCTCACAAGCTTACCAATCAGATGTCTCGCATGACGACCTTTTGATCGAACCTACCGAAAGGGTGGGTGGGTGGACCGAACATCGTCGACAAAGAGCGAGGCCGCTTGGACAAGAGGACAGGGTTTCCCCAAGGTTAGGATCATTCAACTCCAGGGTGAGATTAACATTGGTAGCGGAGCCTCCGCAAGGAGGCGTAGGCATTTTGGAGGGGTTCTCCAGTGAGTAATTAACCTAGGATAGGTTGCATTGGATCCCAGAATTTTGTTGCACGACATTTTACCTTTCCTTCGACCACTGAGCCATGGCCGGAACGGAAGGAAGTTCGGGAGAAGAAAAGGCCGGACACATCTGGAGTCTTCTTCCGGGTTTTGACCCGTCAATTGATGACCCGAGGGAGTATGCCGACAAGATTCGTTTCTTGCACTCCATCTGCCCCGTCAAGGACCGTTCTATGCTAGCTCCCAGACTGGCACTTCTGATGAAGGGCACCGCATGGGCTCAGGTCAAAGCCCTAGATGGTGAAAAGCTCTCGGACCCAAATGGAGGCATTAAGCTCTTGCTGAGTGCGGTGGCCGATTGGGAGGACTCTGCTGAACTCCAGACCTATGAAAAATTCGAGAGGGCTCTGTACAAGGTGACCCAGAAGACAGATGAGTCAGTGTTTTCATACGTGAACCGTATGAATGTTGCCTTTGCTGAGATCAAGAATGTGACCATTCAAGAGATCAAAGCATTCATCATGCTGCGTCAAAGTGGTCTGAATGGAGAAGACAAGAAGCGGGTACTTGCCATGTGTGCCGGGGAGCTCAAGGCCAAGAAAGTGGAAGACTCCATGAGACAACTTGCTCCTCGCATCCTGGTGGGTGCATCCGGTTCAGAGCCAAAGAAGAAGGTCTATCCAGTCAATTTCGTTGATGATGAAGAAGAGATGACCACTCCGACCTACTTCACGGAGGATGACAACCAGATTGACGACGAGATGGGTCTTCAGGTGTTGATGGAACAAGGCGATGAGGATGCCTTGATGATCACGGAGTTTGAAGACCAGTTGATCGAAGCTTGTCAGGACAACGTTGATTTGAGCATGTGCTTCTCAGCATACACAGAAGCCAGAGGCCGAGTTCGAGACAAGATCCGTGCCCGTGGTTTCTGGCCGCCGTCGAAGGGGAAAGGAAAGAACAAAGGATCCAAGAAGGGTCCGTGGAATGCAAAAGGTGGTTTCCGCAGACGCCAGTCACTGGCAGACCGCATAGCAAATTCCCATTGTCGTCTTTGCGGAGCTCGTGGGCATTGGCGACAGGAATGCCCAAACAAGGGCACGACTTCGAATGCCGCAGCGCCTTCAGCGGAGATCCACATGTCCACTTTGGTTGGGGAGAATGTGTCAGAGGTCGACTCGGAGGTCTTGGAAAGACTCCCGATCTCACTAGAACAGATGCTCCCTGAGTGGTGGCCCGTCGTCCAGGAGAAGGCGACGATTCAGAACGATGTGAATGAGACGATGTTGTTGACCGACCCTGGCATGAGCTCGACCGGGAATTTTGAAGACAGCCAGGCCGGTGCTGAAAACAAACCCACAAAATTTTGTCGGTATTCTGAAACAAGAATCCGTGTTAATGAAGAATTCGTTTTTGCTGCTCTGTCCCTCCAAGAGTTGAAACAACAGCTGAGACGAGGCTTAGGGGGCCTTACACTGGGGAAACGTGTCAGGCATGAAGACCCACATGAGCCGATGTTTTTTGTAGACCACGGTAGTGTAGCAATCCTGGACACAGGAGCCTCTAAGTCCGTGATTGGAAAAAAAGAGACTAGAGCAGCTGCTAGTCAATTTGCCGAAGGAATATGCACGTCAGATCTCATGGCAGAAGTCTGATACCGTGTTTAGATTCGGAAACAATGGGACATTGAAGAGTCTAGGTGCGGTTTTTCTGCCTTTTGGTAAGCGTTGGCTAAAGCTTGAAGTGGTTGATGGCACTACTCCTTTTTTACTGTCAAATGCCTTTTGCAAAGCAGTGTCGGCGGATATTTGCACCTCGAAGCGTGAATTGTGCATGTTTCATGGACGTGTGAGTGTTCCATTGACGGTGAGTGAGAAAGGTTTGTTCTTGGTTGACTTGTTAGATGTCATGAAACATGCTGGCAGTGCGGAATTGCAGAATGAGACTTGGGAGGTCGTGACTCATATGCTAGAGGTTTCCAATGTAAACGGTCATGGAAACAACCTCACAACGACAAACACAGACACAAACCAGCCGAGCACAGAGATGACACGACAGACATGCCCAGCAGCCCTTCGAGTTTCAAGCAGTGCCGAGATTTCCCAAGCCAATCACCTACTCCATGGCGCCCAAGAAGGTGATCCCAACATATGCGGCGGTGTCGGGGCTGGACAGTCCCCTGACCGTTCCAGAAGATGCAACGTTGACCAACATCTCATCGGTCAACGATGCCAAGATCGTCAAGCCGCCGGGTGTGACCACATTGAGGCAGTGGGGAGATCAGGTCTTGGGAGGCGGCAAGCATGCAGGCAAGACATTTGCCCAGGTCCTGGCCATCGATGCGAGCTACGTGGAGTTCATGAAAAGAAAGGGAGATTGCACTTCAGCCTGGGCTCTCAGCTTTCACAACTATGTGTTGGCCACCGCTCGGATGGAGACGACCATGCCGGTGGAAAGCCAGCAGCCAGTGCTGACGCCTCAGATGATCAAGAAGACTCGAGAGGAGTGGGCACAGCAGGGAGCGACAGCCACAGACTGGGATGTGATCGACGACCTGAACAGTTACCACCGCTCGGAAGTTCCCGTGGGAATCCCATCCATGGCAAGTGGATCGGCACCGGGAAAACGAGGAGTGCCACTTCTCGAGGACCATCAGAAGATGCAGGTGGACCTTGCGAAGGAGAACCAAGATCGAGTGACCCAGATCCAGACGCAGATAGCCATTCTGCAGCGCGAGTTGGCTTTCCTGATGCCAGCAGAGGAATCATGAATGATACAAGTGAGAAGTTGAGTTATGAGAACCAACCTTCGTTTGAACTTCATACCAGTATGGACACTCCAATCAATGACTTCTTTGCCAAGGAGTTAGCTAACCTGGTGGAAAAGATTGAGTTTCAGATGCAAGAGTTGGCAAACCACTCAGCTGACATCCGGACACGGCACTTAGCACCACGAACCCACAATTCGAAGGAGAGATTGGACATCCTGGAAATCTACTGTTATCCAAACTCCCACCTGACACAGATAGCAAGCCAGATGGGGTTGAAGACCCGTCGATTCACAATCCAGGATGGTGATCTCCGGACCCCTGAGGGTCAGAACAAGCTATGGCAGATCCTGGAAACACAGCAGCCCACACACATTTGGGCTTCACCTGACTGCAAGTTTTGGGGAAATTTCTCCAGACGCAACATGGGCAGAAGCAAACAACTGAGAACCTACATACTGGACGGGAGAAAACATGAAAGACCAAACTTGAGTTTGTGTGAAGAACTATTCCTGTACCAGGTAGAACATGGAAGACATTTTCATTTGGAACAGCCTGTCGGTTCTGAGATGGTAGTTCAACCCGAATTGGAACAATTGAGATGGGGTACTCTGCCAACGGTTTTTGACATGTGTGAAGTGGGTAGGCTGAATTGGAAGGGTGAGTCGATGAGAAAGAGAACGATAGTTTTGACGACCTCCCGAAATTTGCACAGAGCGCTAGACTGTCGATACTGTCGCAAGAAACATGAACACAAGCAGATTGCAGGACAGGTGAAGCACCTTGGAAGGTGGATGCCACTTTCTGCCTTCGCTGCGAAGTACTCGACAGACTTTGCGCGTGCAGTGGTTCGAGCTGTACAGATCGATCCTCGAGAACGTCCTTTAGTGTTTGATGAACTCTTAATTTCAGAAAAAGGACAAGAAGTAGATGAGGCATTGGTAGGGGAGGCATTGAAACGAAGACGACTCATCTCGAAGCAAACGGTAGGAGAGAGGACACAAGAAGATAAAGATTTGGATGTCAATCGTAGGATGGACTTTGAAAAGAGAATCAAGACCCTTTTTGGAGACCTGGACAAACTGGCCCCGAGAGTAGGTTCAATTGTTCTAGGACCGGAAACTACTGTTTTCAAACAGGCCCAGGGTTTCTGTACCTTCCGACTAGTACATGCAGAGGTATGTCGAGGGACTGAACGGTTGAGGATTCCCAAAGCGTCTACTCCTTTGGAAGATCTTGTTTTCAGAAAAACCTTTTCACTTCGTCGATCGTCCGGAAATATCGAACAAGTCGGAGAGGAAGAGGAATGGCAAAAGCTGCCACAGCGGCAGCGCATCAGAAAGGGGATTCCTTCGAAGATTACTTTAACCCTGTTTGGTACTAAGCAACCTGAAACGTCCGGCCGGGAAACAAGGAAAGACGACATGTTGATTGAACCTGTGGGAGAAACGAAAGACTGAAGATGTTCCAGAGGAAGAAACCTACGTAGGAAAGAGGTCTAGAATGGGGATGGAGGACACTGACTTGATGGAAAATGACCCCGAAAAGAAGGGAGATCCTCAGACATCAGGGGAAGAGTTAGAGATTCCTGGAAGACCACCCCGGAATTTGTCAAGACATGGACCTGGTTACCTGAATCTAGATAGGGAGAAACAAAAGTGGATTCAACAGGTACACCACCGACTTGGACATCCGGATGCCGACACGTTTGTTCGTTTTCTTCGATCCACGAACGCAGAGTCGGAGTTGACGGACGCCGCCCGTGATTACCAGTGTGATGCATGTTCAGAGTCCCGGAAAGGCTTCGATCTTTCAAAGGTTGGGGGGGATACATGAGAATCTTGGTTTTAATGACACCATCGGTATGGATGGTGCAGTGTGGACCAATGCTCAGGGAACCCAATTCCATTTCACGCACATTATCGATGAAGGGACACTGTTTCATGTAGCCCGACCATGTGGTAGTGATTCGAGTGCACAATGGAATCTGCTAGAAGATCACTGGTTTAGTTGGGCAGGACCTCCAAAGACCATTTATGTGGACCCCGCAAAAGAATATTTGAGCGAGGCATGGATGACGCGAATACAAGAACTAGGGATCACCCTGAAAGTTTCGGCCCGTGAATCACATTGGCAACTAGGCAGGGTGGAGGCCCATGGATCCATCCTGAAGGGAATGTTGACACGTATGGATCTAGAGGTACCAATCCTAGAAGAGGAGTCATTCAAACGAGCCATAGTCCAAGCATGCCATGCGAAAAACTCATTAACACGGAAATCTGGGTACTCACCCGAACAAGCGGTTTTGGGGTGTGCGACCAGACTACCGGGTTCCGTTACTTCAGATGATAGTGCACTGAGTCATGAAAGAGCGCTAGATGAGGGCCCCCATAAGTTCAAAGAAGCTTTAGACCTCCGAGAATCCGCACGAAGAGCTTTCATTTCCTTGGACAATTCAAACAGTCTAAGACGGATCATGTTGCGGAGAAGTAGACCGGTTAGGGAGAATTTTGAGGTGGGGGACTTGGTTTTGTATTGGAAACGAAAAGGTGGAAACATGAGACGGGAACGAGGACAGTGGTTTGGACCTGCTCGTGTCGCCCTTGTGGAAAGTAGGAAGGTGATATGGTTGGTGCACGCCCATCGTCTAGTTCGAGCCAGTCCACAACAGTTGCGTGCAGCTTCACTTAGGGAATGGAAGATGATCAAAGACACCGAAGAGTTTAGAGTACCAGCCCCTGATTGGGCTCGTAGGATAGGTCACCAGGACTTGTGCGAGCTTGATCCAGATGATCTTCCTGAACCGAGTGAACCCGATGTCGAGCGACCTGATCCCGGCGAGACACCTGGGGAACCAGAAGATGTTTTGGTTCCTGAGCCTGAAGAAGAAGTATCTGCTCCGACTAGAAAACCTTCCATGAACGTTGAGGTAGACGGCACCGATGTTCCGGTTCCTGAGGATGATGAATTATTTGGGGATACCATTTTCTTTCAGGAGGTTGATCAGGGACGGTGTTGGGAAATAGATGTGACACCTGCCTGTGAGATCGAAAGTGCTGGTGGAACACCAGATGCCCTGATTTTGGCCGCTGTTTCTGAACGAAAGAAGAGAACGGAGATCAAGTTGAAGGAGTTGTCCCAGGAAGATCAGAAACGGTTTGCAGTGGCCAAGCATAAGGAACTTGGCGCCTGGTTGCAGCACAAGACAATTCGAAGAGTATCCCAGGGCAAGATCCCCGACAATGCCATCATGCGTTGCCGATGGCTGTATGTTTGGAAGACAGCATCCGGAGACGAATTACCTACGGATCTGTCGTCTGAAGGAAAGAAAGCCAAGGCCCGGTTGATTGTTATAGGTTGGGAGGACCCTGACTTGGACCAGGTGATCAATGATGCACCAACTCTCTCGAAGGATGGAAGGACCGTTTTGCTTCAAGCAGTTGCCAGTCATCAATGGCCTTTGATTTCTTTTGATATCTCAACTGCTTTTCTTCATGGAAAAGGTGACGGTCGACCCCTAGGTCTAGTTCCGGTTCCAGAAATGCGTGAGGCCCTGAACATGTCAGAGACAGACCAGGTGCAACTGGATGGAGGAGCATATGGCAGGATAGATGCTCCCTTTCTTTGGTTCTGTGAGTTTAGGGATGAACTAAAACGCCAAGGATGTCGACAATCACCTCTCGATCCCTGCGTTTTTACCTACCACTCCCAGGATGGTCTGGAAGGCTGTCTTGGGATTCACGTTGACGACGGCATTGGCGGAGGCAGTCCAAAGTTTATGGACATGCTACGTAGGGTAGAGAAGAAATTTAAGTTTGGGGCTTTTGAAGAAGGAGAATTCACCTATACCGGGATTCATTTTAGACAGTGGGATGATGGATCGATTGAGTACGACCAGGTTCCCTACATCGAGAAGATACAACCCATAGCTCTTGGGAAGGGACGCAAAGAAGATCCTGAATCCTTGATTTCAGAAGGTGAAAGGACCGCTTTCAGAAGCCTCATTGGAGCACTCCAATATGCAGCAGTACATAGCAGGCCAGATCTAGCAGCCAAAGTAGGAGAGTTGCAGAGTGAGGTCACTAGGGCACAGGTAAAACATCTAGTTTTGGGGAACAAAGTGCTGACAGAGGCCAAGCAGAATCGTGTTTCATTGATGGTGTTACCGATCCAGCCCGAGAGAGTGACCTACTGTGCATTCTCGGATGCCTCCTTTTCATGCATCAAACATACCACGGCACAACAAGGAACCATAATCTTTGCCACGACACCCGAACTTTTGGAAAATAAGAGGTCTGTGGTAGCTCCAGTCGCCTGGTATAGTAAGAAGATTCCTAGAGTTGTCAGAAGTACACTTGGTGCAGAGGCAGCAGCACTGAGCAATTCAGTCGACCGACTTTTGTGGCTCCGGATCCTGTGGGCAACAATCCTCGACCCGGACTGTGATTGGAAACATCCTGAGGTTTTGTTGAAGAGCCAGAATCAAGCAGGCCTAGTCACCGACTGTAAATCAGCCTACGACCTTTTGACACGAACAGCGTTGCCACAGTGTTCTGAACACAGGACGACTATAGAGTGTCTGCTGATTCGCGAGAGGCTTCGTGATAATGCCACCGTCAGGTGGGTTTGCTCACAAGCGATGTTAGCCGACTGCTTGACGAAGACAATGGACAGCAGTGCTTTGAGAGAGTGTTTAAGAACTGGCAAATACATCCTTCGGGACGAAAACCACACGTTGAAAGAACGGCTAACTGCTCGGGAGCGACTGAAATGGATCAAGCAGCATGGATCGACAACAACTCGATCATCCGAAGAAGCCATGTTGACTGAACAGATCGGCAAATCTATGCATGAGGAGGATTTTTGGAAAATGGGTCCAAAGGGAGAACTCATTCGGGTGCACGTGAAACCAAGATATCAGTTGTTTTCACCTGTCGGGGTTGTTGACTGTCCTGTTGACTTGAGAAAACTCGAAGTTTTTAGGGACACCTACCAACAGGGGTGTGCAGGAGAACGCAGCTACTGGGTGGGAACATGTGCACATCGAAAGACTTCCTTCCCATGGACCGGCGAGACAGTCTTTTACAAAATAAAAGAGTAAAGGGTGTGTGAAGCTCACAAGCTTACCAATCAGATGTCTCGCATGACGACCTTTTGATCGAACCTACCGAAAGGGTGGGTGGGTGGACCGAACATCGTCGACAAAGAGCGAGGCCGCTTGGACAAGAGGACAGGGTTTCCCCAAGGTTAGGATCATTCAACTCCAGGGTGAGATTAACAATATATATATATATGCGTACTCCTGGGGCATGGAGAATTCAAACCTCAGGAAAACACTGCAAAACATGCTTTCCAACAACCCTAGACCCGCCTATGTCTATGGTGGTGCTTTCCGGTCCTTCTGACTCCTATCGCCAAGTTCAGCAGCTTTGGTCGAAGACAGCTGGAGTAGACAACTTCTGAACTCCTTCTGAAAATTGTTCCGATTGAAAGGCAAAGAAGGCTTGGCATTGTCCGCACTCTCCTCGTTGGGTTGATTTGTGACTTTCCGTGGTGGAATCGCATCTGCCTTGCAAGGAAGGCTTGGAAGGGGATATTAGACAACGACAGAGACCTGGAGCACCAAAAGTCACCTTCTTATTTAAACTCTGTCAGGTTGAAACACAAATGCACTTTAAATTCACCTCGAAGATCCTCCAACTTAAAGTGGTCTTGTGCAGACTAGCAACGCCGGAGACTTGCTCCTTGATGCAGTGCAGCTGCACCCGGCAGCCCTGAGTGGAAGGAAATCTTCCAAGAAATCAAAGATGATTAGACTAAATATATGTCTTGTAAAGCTGCATTGCGCCCTAAATTAACATAAGCCTTAAACTAAAATCCGCCGACACCGAAGGTGCTGGCGCATGTGTATCCGGATGGCATAGTCAATCGCAAGATTTCAGCTTTAGCAGGGGGCCTATTATTCGGGCAAGAAACCTGAGCTTTTGAAGGTTGTTGAAAATCGAGTGCAAACAACGTCGTAAATAACTGCATTTGATGAAGGTTTTGGGACGTGCAAATTCTTGAGGCGTTCTTGAAAAAGTGAAAAACGTTGGATGATTGAAGATTTGATCAAAAATAGCCAGGCAGAACCGGCATAAACAAACATCAGCGGCTTCATGGTACGGCTCTAGCTGGCTAGGGGGTCGTATTAGCCAGGTAGAGCCAGGGACGGTGGGACACCAGTACAACTATACTGTACTACTGCCCTGTTGATACCACGGCAAACTAGGAACTCATATGCTTCGATGCTGCCAAAATGACATTTCTCCCGGTGCGGGCGGACCCAGCCCCGAAGCGGCGCAAATAGCATTGTATGAATTCTATGCTTATGTTTTTGCATCCATTCATAAATTACATAACTTTCAACTCATCGCGCTGCTGATACGTGCAATGCCTGTATACTCGCGTAGGACACATCCGCACAATGCCGCAGAGCTTCTGCATCACCCAAAAGGATGGTCTCACTTGCTTTGTGAAAGTCGAGGGCGGTGGCAGGGCAGCCCTGACAGCACTCAACAGAAGTTGAACGGCCCCTCTCGAGCAGCGTGACTCAGTACCACTGAAAACCCAACGAAACACATGCGATGACCACTAACTGAATCTGCCTGGCAACCAAGTCGCGGTCTCAGCTCCCAGATACCAAAGCAAGATACAGTTCAGCTTCCTGCAAAATGGCCGCACCCACAATCAAATGCTACTAAAGTCACAGGTGTTTCAAAACTTCTAACACGATCAAAACACCGCTACACAACACGATTATGCGGCAGGTCAGAAACAAGGCTGCCTGTGAACCATGCAAACTATGCCCTCTCCTGTCTTCCCTTCGTGTGATGCGTCGCAAGCACAAAGATCCATCCACCCCCTTGCAAGCCAACTGCAAAAGGCACACCCCTTCGGTCCAGTCAGGCCACATGCGACAGTATGACTTTCAGACAGACGTACATCACGTGGTGTGAAAAATATGTGACAAGCAAGGCTGGCGGCACCGCCAGCACCAAGAGCGACATGCTGATGCTGGGGATGTCAAATGCACCCATGGCGCTGAGATCAGCACCACACCTCAGCAGGAATGAAATCGAGGGGGAAAGGACATCTGGTTGCGTCATGAAATGTGCAATAGCAACGAGTTTTAAGTTCCTGCAGGTGATCTTCACGATGGTTCACAAAACATGGATAGATTGACTGGGAATTGGATGAAACACTCGGAATGCAATGGGACAGAACAATATGATTCAATGATGTTTCTGATATGAGACGTGGAAATATGAAATGAGAGGCAGTAGAGTCTGATTAAAGTTAGGTGCCAAGTGATAGAAGAAACCACCTGCAAAGTCATGACCTTAACCCAAGGGAGGTCAAACTCAAGTAGAAAGGCCACATATGCAAGAAGAAATCTTTGATGCTCTGCATACAAGAAGAAAAGTAGATGTTGTGCTACTTGTAATGAGATAGAAAGACCTGGGACAATCAAACAGTCGAAGCAAAGCAGCTTCAAAGGTTCAAATCTGTTCACGCGCCGAACGGGATTCCTATTGGCGCGAAGGGACGTCATCAACTCCGCAGGGTACTTCTGTAAGCAGCTGAAGGAGTCTGTGTCCCAAATGGTGACGCGCCTGGCCCGGGAAAAAGGCCGCGTGACCCGGGAATCGCAGTGGCGACAATCGCAGAGGCAGGGGGGCACTTGTGGGCCGACAAGGCAAACACGGCCGAAGTCTTCTCGCAGAAGGCCAAGGCAACGACCATCTGGTCAGGTGTCTTTGGCAGGTTAAGCACAAAAAGGATTGAAAAAAGAAACAAAGAAAAATCCATTCTGTCAGGCCAAAGTTCTTCGGAAGTTACTTTGGTCACGAAGAGTTCCAACCTCTTCGCCACATGGAAGACTCCGCACGAGCATCCCTGTCGTTGTTGCAGCTTATCATGAATAAACGTGCAATAAAACAGAGTACAATGGCAAAATGTTCAAGAACATATGATTGCATCCCCCACAATGTTGGAAGAGCGGCTTGAAATTCAGAATCACCCACCCCGCTGTCTCCTACCCAAAAAGGAAAGCTTCGCAGGTACCAGGTACAATCATCATGCCCAGCATTTTTCCCGGGCAGGTCCCAACCTGTTTCCAGCTCAAAAACAGCCACTGAGCCCACATCCAACCCAGTCCACAGCTGCAAGCCCGAGTCCTGCAAGCATGGTCACTACCGAATAACAAATATTAGTGTCAAAACTCTCACTATCTCCATCCGCCCCGTGAACCTGATTGGGGAATTGACTGTGATATTTGGAGCTTCCCATGCCTGGGGCACTACCACCAATGAGCTGGCAGCCACTGGCTGATCCGAACCTTACATCCACTACATCCACAGACGCATCCAAAGGACTCATCCAAGGCCCGTGATAATTAAAGAGTTATAGACTGTGCAAACCTCATGGACACAGAACCTGAGAGAGGTCACTGGGCAAATGGAACTCCCGTCGGAGGTCACCATCAGCAAGGTTCCAACCTGGAACAGGCGGTTGTGTTCAGCGGTGATGTTGAAGCATCTTTCAGTTTCACCATCACCAGCTCTACAACGGCCGACATTGAGGCTCCAGCAAAGACACCGAGAAGAGGTCCCAGCGAAAAGGTAATCTTTGTGAAGATGGAGCGCCTGTAGCAGCCAAGCATAGACTAAACGCACACGCGAATGTCAGGAAGAAAGTGCCACAAAACAAGGAGAATGACCAATGCAATGCCTGCTCCTTCAGCTCTTTATAGTCAAAAATCCATTGATGTACTTAGAAGATCTTAGAAGGCCAAACTAGGAAAAAAGTCAACTGCACAAAGCAAAAGCACACAGGTAGAGGTGCTGACGAGAACGCTTCTAGCCAATGGGCCGGGCTTCTTTCCGCTCAAGTCTTCCTGAACAGCCACCCTACATTCGCTTGTCCATGTGTCAGATTTCAGGGAGGAAGGCGAGCTGGCACTGCAGTCTTGGGGGGGTGTGCTTGACAAACACCTTTAGACTGCCCGACATGCTGGTCCTCCTCCTCAATCTGCAATTGCCTGCGAGGATGCACACCGCCACCCTCCAGGCTGAAGATCAGAACAGCACCGTCCTCACGTGACAGCTATGACACGTATGCACAAAACCCTGGATCAGTTGCAATGAAGCACCAAGCACCAACTACCGCGCATGTCTTCTGCACTTGTCTTCCGCACTTTTGAGCAGCTGAGGGATCGTGACAGCCTTCCTGTCCTCCACTAACTTCTGGCTGGTTCTCATGATCAATGCTGGTTCACGTATTATCACATCAAGACGTCCGCGCGAGAGATCCACAAGTTCAAGGACGGTGTTGACGTGCACGGTAATCCCGTCGTTCTTCCTCACATCAATCCTAGCACTCCATGGGTTCCTCAAATCCTAGCCCTTATGGCTTGGATGATCCGAGCACCACGAAAATCTCCACCTCTCCTTTGACGCCGTAGTCCGTCCAGGTTCGGCCTCCGTCCAACTGGTTCCCTTTGAATATCAACCTCTGCCTCTCCACTTCGAAGCCCTTCTCATCCCGCACCAACTCCTTAAGCTTGTCAACATCATCATTCTCATTCACTTCACATTTGACCGCTTTACCTTCAGCAAACTTCACCGTCACCTTCATGGCAACAAGGCGGATCCCTCTTGAGCCCACTTCGCAAATCAAGCCTTTGGTCAACAGGCAACAGTTTGTTCATGGTAAAATCAAAGTCTCAACCCTGGGGAACTTTGACAATGTGACCATCTCTGAGCAAATCCAAGATTTCCAAATGCTCTAAGTGCATCTTCCGCCCTCAAAAACTTCTAGTCTCCTGGCAACCAACTGCCATACGCCGTGAAGAAGATGAGGAATCTGCCTGCTGCAGCTACAGTCGCTATCGCCGTTTGTTGCAGCTAGGGTGTTTGCTGCGCACCTCCAAGGAGAAGCTGGTCATTGGCAAATGGGTCCTGTAGCGCTCAAATCAGCTGAGCAAGTCGCACCAACGGGCACGACCGCAGGTCCCCGCCAGGTCCCACAGGTCCTCAGGGCAGAGGTGACCGAGTCCTGCGGCGCTTGTAAGAACCAAAAAACGCTTTAAGCCGTCAAGTATACCGATTTCGATTTCATGCTTTCATCAGGGGATTCAGTTGGCGAACGTCAACAATGGCAACGCTGCCAGTCAGTTCAAGGGGCTTTTTCCTTAGCAGACCTAATCATCAGCTTTGCACCATCGCAGTCTCGAAACGTGATTCATTTCTTGAGACAGGGGTGAGCATACACTAAACGCATCAGACTCTTCCATCACCAGGTAAAAAACACAAGGCACATGGGCAACCATTGCTGTCCTCCGTCAAGTCGTACACAAGGCTTTATTAGAAGAATACTCTTGTATTGAATGGTTGCCCCGGCTCTTCAGCCACAGAAGTTGTGTTGGCAGTTTGGCATCAAAAAGTGACTCGAGCACACGTGGACAGTTGTTAAATGAAACCTCGCGCCAACAGCAACACGCTTTCAAATCTTACATTGACATTGATGCTTCTGAGAAGGCACACTAATCTCTCATTGACGTGCCTCTTCTTGAATTAAAGGGAAATCTTCGGCCAAAGGGGCCGGACCGCATCTCGCAATCAGGCTGAGCCAGCCAGGAAAAAAACCGTGTCACGATGGCAAAGCTACTGCTTGTCCATAAGAATCAACTACGCTTCAACTCTGCCCAAAAAAAATATTCCCTCATAATCATATTCCGTCTCTAAAACTGAGATGCTGCACGTGGCTGGAACTGAACCGCGGGTGCATCATGGATCCACAATTCTCAGAATCCGCACCACCTGACAAGCACGCACGGGGCCGGCAAATGCCGCCAAGGGCCAAAGGAGACATGCAAATGCCCGGGGCCTTCGTTCTGCAAATGGGACATCTCCGGTCGGTGTGGCTCACACCCACGGCGCACAAATGGCAAACGCAGCGATGTCCGCATGGAGTGAAGGCATAGCGCCGCGGCTGCGCCATGCACACGACGCCTTGGTGTCGAAATGAGTGGGCGAAACGCGCGAGTGCCGGCACCGAATTGCAAAACGCGGAGCTGTTTGAAACAATCCCTCCACCTGATAGTTTCTAGCTACTAGTAACTAGTAGCTTCTTGTTACTAGTAGCGATGGCCTCCAACCTAATAGCGATGGCCTCCACCTAGTAGTTTCTAGCTACTACTGGACTGTAAGCCTCCTGCAATCACTGCCATTCTTTCGGCCCTCTTGGGAAGCCAAAAGTGTCAAGGTCTCATCCAACTGTTCCTGCAAGCGCTGGACCTGGCCATCAGAAACTAGCCATCAGGACATCCTCAAGCTGTCTGCTGGGTGCTCGCGAAATTGGCTATGCCATCTATTTTGTCACAAGGGTCACAGTCCCACATCAGCCCACGTGAGGTCTAAACAACAAACAGGCCTCCAGCTCCAGCTCACCTACAGGTACAGGCAGCGTGTGAGCACAAACCCGGGCACAAATCATGATATTATACTTCAATTGGAAACGCAAGATCAATTTAACCCCCCCATTAGTTTGGCCAGATGCTTTCCTGCAATACCAACGACATTGGAAAATAGACCTTCCGGGTTGTTCACTTTGGGAAAGCACGTGGAGAGCCCTAAAAGCAGCTCCTTCAAAGTCATTTTTCTCGTTGAAAATCTACAAGTGAAACTGTTGAGCGTTTGAAGGGGTGCCTTGTTGCAGAAACTAACGCCCTAGTTCCCGGCCGGGCTATCAAAAAGAAAATAAACATATATCAAAAATACCTGAAAGGGGGGGAACGAAAGCCAGCAGCCGCCAGACGAGAGGGTCAAAAGAAGAAACCATCTAAGCAACACATGCTTACTACGATGGCAGGCACTGTATGCTTCAACATGAGTGTCACCAAGCGTCATCCTAAAATATTGCATAGATCCGTGGCTATAACATGTCCTTAAAACAGCACCAATCTCTTCACTTGCTATCTACACGGGCCCTTTTTCTGATAGCAACTTGTCGCTGCCAACCAACTACTATACTTGCCCCAATACATCCAACCAGACTTCTCTGAAAGGATGACTAGGAGGATGGCAGTAACTATATGCCTCAGCATTGGTGTCACCAACCGTCATCCAAAAATATTCCACAGATCCGTGACTATAACCCATCCTCAAAGAGCAATCTCTTCACCCCACCAAGTTGCTATCTACACGGGCCCCTTTTCTGATAGGCACTCGTCGCTGCCAACCAACTACCATACTGGCCCCAATACATCCAACCAGACCTCTCAAGCAAAATGTAGAGACTAGGATGGTTTCTCTGTACATGGGTGCCTGTCTCCACTCCAGTGCTCAATGCCTGGCCTCCACAGCTCTTCGTGATGCTAATGATGCACTACTCGGCTTCCGTTGCATCACTCGCATCACCAGACCCCATTTTCACTGCTTTTCTGACCCTCGCTTTGGAGCGCTCTCCCCAGGCAAGCTCCGGGTTCACCCTCTCAAATGGTGCCTTTTCGCCTCCTACCCCCCCCACACCCCCTTAACTCACTTCGTTCGGTCTAAAAGCTCAAGTCTAGCCTGTCGGCTGGCTTTCGTAAAAATTTTTATGTCCTATCAAAAAGAAAATTAATTTGTATCAAAAACAAAATATCTCTCACAAAGAGCTGCGCCTGCCACTGCAAACCGCCTTGGCAGCGCTGCGCGATGTGAATCTGGATGTGCAGATTTCGTGGCGCACGCAGCACTTTGAGCATCTCCAGTAGCAGATTTCGTGGCAGGGGCAGCACTTTGTGCACTGGAACTGCAGATTTCGCATCGGGCGCAGCGCCTTGAGCACCTCCACTACCAGATTTCGTGGCAGGAGCGGCACTTTGTGCACTGGAACTGCAGATTTCGTGGCAGGCGCAGCACTTTGAACACCTCCAGTAGCAGATTTCGTGGCAGGAGCGGCGCTTTGCGCATTGGAAGCGCAGGTTTCGTGGCAGGCACAGCGCCGGTAGCAGGTTTCGTGGCAGGAGCGGCACTTTGTACACAGCACTTTGAGCACCTTCAGTTTGCAGGGCTCGTGGCATGCACTGGAACTGCAGATTTCATGGCAGCCGCAGCACTTCGTGAACCTCGAAGTGCAGATGGCGTGAACCTTTGTCTACAGGCGCAGACTTCGTGGCAAGCGCAGCGATTGCGAACCTTGAAGCGCAGTTTGCGTGGCGTTTGCAAAATTCTGTGGATCTCAAGACCTGTGAAAAGAGCTCTTGATATCTCTGGATCTGAACATCTTTCTACACCCTCTGCAAGTATAGACCCCTAGAACTTATATAGATTTCAACACCTCCCTGGATCTCAAGACTCGAGGCCTCTAAACCTCCATCTTTAGGTCTGTGGGTTTCTAGCCCTCTACACCTACAGATCCGTCTGGATCTCCAGGCCTCTGGATCTTTGTAGATGTAGACCTCTCTGCATCTCAACCGTGACCTCTCTGAATTTCACCATGGCTGACAAAACCACAAGACCTGTGGATGGCTCACAAAAGGTCTGCTATGTTGGAATGACACCTTCCTCTTCTAAAGTTTATGCTGACAACAGGTTTGCTCCTGTAAATTTTGCCCTCGCATGGCTCACAAAAGGTCTACTGCTCCTCTGCTACCTTGGCGTGGCACCTAAAGTTTATCCCCGGGTGGCTCACAAAAGGTCTACGTTGGAATAGCAAATTCTACAACAAAGGCCTGCTACGTTGGAATGGCAACTTCTTCCTCTAAGTTTTAACCTCGCAAGGCTAACAAAAGGTCTGCAACGTTGGAATGGCTCCTTCCTCTTCAAAATTTCGCCCTCAGGTGGCTCACAAAAGGCTTGCTGCCTTGGAATGGCACTTTCTTCGTCTAAATTTTATATACCGTCAGGGTGGCTCACAAAAAAGGTCTGCTACGTCTGGCGATAAAAGGTCTGCTACGGTGCTTCACAGGATGTATGACCAGATTTCCAAATCACCTTGAACGCGTCTTGCTACAGACCCAAGGACCCGAAGACCAGGACGAAGGACCAAAGGACCAGAGGACCAAAGGACCAGAGGACCAGGGACCAGAGGGACCAAGGGACCAGGGGACCAAGGGACCAGGACAAAGGGAGCAAAGGACCAAGCGACCAGGGAACCAGCAGACCAGGACCAAAGCAGTAGGGGAAATCTTATTTTTGATACGAATTAATGTTCTTTTTGATAGGAATCAATTTTCTTTTTGATAGGTATCCCATTAGTTTCCACATCTTACCTTCTTCCCATACTTGGCAGGGCTTTGCGCCCACAAAAGCTCTTTGTCGAGGCACTGATCGTGCTCTTGCAGGTGCAGGAGGGTTTGTCGTCATGCCTTCCTAGGTCGAGATCCACTGATGAAACAAAAACTGATGGACTGCACAGCACAAACCGGTTCAACATCGCATCAACGTGCCATCACTTCAGCCATACCTAAAAAGTGTCAACTCACTCTAGTACAAACATGCGAAACAATCTGCACATCTCTGCCATGCGGCCCCCGTTCTCTTCCACGACTCCTGCACGAGAGGTCGAAACACCCTCGTTCAACTTCTGGGTTGCTTGCTGTTTCGGGCCACAGTCGAAACTCCAAGCCTGAGAGCTTCTCAGCCAGAAAGGGGTCGAAAAGCTGCGAAAAATGCCTTAGTCCCTGGAAACATGCCATGGTCACGCAGCAGCGGAAGGAGCTGACGGAGTCAACGGAAGGAATGTCTTTGCTCGAAAACCTCTGAGTGGGAACATCGAGATTGCAAGAGGCCAACAAAACATCTCCAGGACATGTCCGATTTCATGCTGTGCATGGTGAAGGGGTGTGTATAGCAGTTTCCAAAATGCATCCATGAGTAGTCTTGTAATCAGAGCTCCGAGCTGCAATGCTGCGAAAGTCGACTACAAAGTCTGCAGAAAAATGCCTTCTGGCAAACAAACATGAAAGTCACTAAAGCCCAAGAATTGGCAACACAAAGTCGTAACGCCTGCAATTCCAGGAGTTTGGCCGTGTGTGCATCGTACACCTGCACCAAATGTCCATTGAGCAAAAAAGAATTATGATGCACCACTCCATGCCAAAGAAAAAGTAAAAGGATCCCAGGTGTTCAACTTCAAACGTTGTACCCACAAAGGCAATTGATCAAGGGCAAATGTGTGACAGAATGTTGCAAAGGATTCTTCTTGTGAAAAAACAAACCATCCACAAGAGTATGGCTGATTGCACTTCATTGCCGCTTCAGAACGTCCGAGGAAAGTCAAAAATAAGTTAAGTCGCACAAAATCACATCAAAACCCTTGCTGAGTTGAATTGTCCAAACTGTTCTGTCGAGTCGAAAGGCTTTGCGCCTGAATCTTCAAAGGTGTCACCACCACAAGCTTGTAGGTGCCAGCCTGCACATTTATCTGATCTCAAGCTGAGTCAGTGGAATCACTCCCTGGCATTGTGAGCATGTCACAACGAGAAATGATCTGACAATTTGGTTGACATCAAGATGACCATCACCTCATTGCCCTCGATCAAGACACTGCCGAGAGTTGGTCCTCTTCTACCCTCAGTCACAAACGTGTGGTGCAAGACACTGGTTCTCTTCCAGAAATTGTTGCAATCCTCGTGACTCAGGCGCGGGCGACGGCTTCTTCTTCTCCAAAGTTTGCGGCCAGCGGCTTGGAAGAACTGTTGACCAAACCCATGGCGCCAGCTTGGTGTGAGCATTTGACCGCACAAATAGGTGGGAATCTGCGAATTTACAGAACCACTGACTTGGTGGAGGATGATACCATTGGGTTTGGGTTCTGTACATCACGTGGTTTGAGCCAAGAGTAAGCTCCAGGTGTCATGGGCAAACCCATTGAAAAACATTCAGCAGGTTGGGAACCGCCCTCAGCCCAACCACATTTGACTTGCACACCAGCCACCCCTAAAACCCAATGCAATTTCCTTTGAAGACTTTCACACACAGATGAAATGTTTTGCGTAAAAGTGGAATCTGATTTTACGTAGCCCACCAATTGACATAGAAACCGGATTTTGTTGTGAGCTCACTTGCCGTGTTTTCCTCGGGGTTCAAAATGCATGCAATGTTGTTTCATATTGTACAATCATGCAAGGCGCATTCTCCGTGCAATATTGCGAGCACATGCCCTTTTGATAGACTGGAGCTTCGCAACCTTTCATACACTCTAAATTAGCCTTCGCGAATTAGTCTCGCCTGTGTAAAATCCAAGAGCCTATGCCATGTTAAACACTTCGCAAGCCTTCGCCACACCTAAAGTATTACACAAATGCCTTCGCAAACATGTGGTGAGTTACAGTTTAACCCAAATTTTAAAAAGTCAATAAATAAAAGTACTACATTGCATGTGAAAGAACAAAAACATAGTGAACATGGAATGCCGGGTTAAACGCAATCTTGAACACCCCACTTCATGGAATCACAAGCGGACAAAATGATTTTTCTGGCAGGATTGCATTTTGGTCAATGCCTTCTCTCTTCACTGATTCACCCTGTTGTTTGCTCTGTTTTCGTTTATTGCGGTTGTGGTTTCCATGCCTCATGGTTCGACGATACAGATACAAAACGTTCGCTAACATGTCTTAGGAGTTAGTGTCCACAATGTTATTGAAAAGAAACTGAACGTTCTACTAGGACTTACATTTGACAATGTTTTGGTGCAAAGTGAAGATCCCAGTAAAACACCACTGAACGAGTACAGTAAACAAAACACGGTGATGGTTCTTGTTGGCGGCGCTAGAAACCCAAAGTGAATCTGCGGGGCGATTGTGTTGGAGAGCATTTATCACTATAGAATTTCAACTAAGGGGTGGTTTTGACCGCTTGGGAATGGAAGGGTGTGGCTGGGAGAGAGGTGGGGGTGGGAGAAGACATGAACAAATATCAGGTTTTCACATATCATCTATATCTTGCTATATTTATCAATGTTGTATCTTGTGCATCACCAGGTCCATGAAAAATGTCTATCTCCTAATATACATCTCATGGTAGTTCATACGCGCCAGCTGGTTGCAATTGTACCTCTCATCATTGTATCATTTGCGTCACCTAGCCCACGAAAACCAAGCAGTTCATCTCAATTGTTTGTGTCTAAATACATCTCTCATTGCTGCATCTCATGCATCAGCAGGTTGCACTTGTATAGTTTCTTGTACATAATCACTCTATGTTCAATCCCTGAAACGTGTCTGTTTCAGGGGGGCCAACTTACAATAACAGTGCCTGCACATGGATATTGTTTGGTCCCTTGAAAATGAACAAGCTCACGCGGATCGAAAAATACAGGGATCATTTACAATAACGTATACAATGAGCATGATCGAGACAAAACTTAGGGATGGACGCAGCATGCAATGGATGAATAGAATACAAGAAACGACTATAATTACACAGATCGATTCCGTAATTTTTTCTACCTGCGTGCTTTACATTTTCCAGAGGCCATACAGTTCCCGCGAATTATCCTGTGGAACACTATGTAAAACTCTGCAACACGAAACAAAAGTAAAAGAACCCGTTTTTCCCGAGTCTAAGAACAAAAACAAAGTATAATCATCACTATGATTTTAAGATCTTTTCGATAATCATCATCATTCATTTCATGCGTTCATTCAACCATTCATTGATTCATTCTTTCACTGTCTCATTCATTTCATTCATTTTATTCATTTTCATTCATTCGTTTCATTCATTTCAGTCATTTCATTCATTCATTCATTCCTTCCTTCCTTCCTTCCATTCTTTCATTTCACTTCCTTTGATTTCATTTCTTCCATTTCATTTCATTTCGTTTCATTTCATTTGCTCATTTCATTGCATTTGAACTCAAGTCAATTAAATTCATTCATTCATTCATCCATTCAATCATTCATCCATTCATTCATTCATTCACTCATTCAGTACATTCGTTTCATTTCTTTTCATTTCATTTCATTTCACCGCAATTCAATTCAACCCAATTCAATTTCAATTTCAATTCAATTCATCCGTTCATTCATTCATTCTATTCATTTCATGCGTTTCATTCATTCATTCATTCACTCATTCATTCACTCGTTCATTCATTTCATTCATTCCACCCATCCGTTTCAATCGTTTCATTCATTGCATTCATCGCATTCATTTCATTCATTCATTCATTCACTCACTCACTCGTTCGTTCATATATTTCATTTACTTCATTTCAGTTCATTTCATTTCACTCACTCATTCATTCATTTATTCATTCATTCATTCATGTATTTCATTTCATTCATTCCATTCATTCCATACATTCCTTTCATTCGATTCATTCATTCATTTATTCATTCATTCATTCTTTCTTTCCTTCATTTCATTTCATTTCATTTGGTTTCTTTTCATTTCATTTCATTTCACTTACTTTCACTTCACTTCACTTCACTTCATTTCATTTCATTTCATTCATTTCATTTATCTCATTCATTTCATTCATTTCTCTTCATATCATTCATTTCATTTTTCGTTTTTCATATTTCATATTTCATATCATATCAACTCATCTCACTCAATCATTCATTCGTTCGTTCATTCATTCATTCATTCAATCATTTCATTTCACTTCACTTCACTTCATTTCATTTCATTTCATTCATTCATTTCATTCCTTGCATTCATCGCATTCATTGCATTCTTTGCATTCATTGCATTCATTTCATTCATGTCGTTCATTTCATTCATTTCATTCATTCATTTTCATTTCATTTCATTTCATTCATTTCATTCAACGCATTCATCGCATTCATTGCATTCTTTGCATTCATTGCATTCATTGCGTTCATTTCATTCATTTCATTCATTTCATTTCATTTCATTTCATTTCATTTCATTTCATTCATTTCACTCATTCATTCATTCATTCATTTCATCCGTTCATTCATTCAATCATTCATTCTTTCTTTCATTCATTCATTTCATTTCATTTGACATGATTTCAGTTAATTTCATTTCATTTCATTCATTCACTCGTTTCAAATCATTTCATTTCATTTCATTCATTTCATTCTTTCCATTCATTCCAATCATTCATTCATTCATTCGTTCGTTCATTCATTCATTCATTCATTCATTCATTCATTTCATTCATTTCATTCGTTCATTCATTCATTCATTCATTTATTCATTCATTCATTCATTTCATTTCATTTCATTCATTTCAATTCATTTCATTGCGTTTCATTTCATTTCATTTCATTTCATTTCATTCATTTCGCTCATTTCATTCATTCATTCATTCATTCTTTCATTCATTCATTCAAATTCATTTCATTTCATTTCATTTCATTCCATTTCATTTCATTTAATTTCATTCATTTCATTCATTTCATCCGTTTCATTCATTTCATTCATTTCATTCATTTCGTTCATTTCATTCCTTTCATTCATTTCATTCCTTTCATTCATTTCATTTCATTTCATTTCATTTCATTTCATTTCATTCATTTCATCAATTTCATTCATTTCATTCACTCGTTCAATCATTCATTCATTTCATTTCAGTTCATTTCAGTTCATTTCAATTCATTTCAGTTCATCAGTTCATTTCAATTCAATTCCTTTTCCCTTTTCCCTTTTCCCTTTTCCCTTTTCCCTTTTCCCTTTTCCCTTTTC